TCTTGCTCTGCCTCAGTCCCTATACCTTCTTTTGTCTACTCTGGGTCCCAGGCTGACTGGCCAGGGAGCTTGGAAGTTGTCTTTATTTCTCTTGACCTTTTCTTGTGAGTAATTTTTATAGTTCCATTAACTAGCGAGACCATTTGCAAACCTCCAGGCAAAATATATTACCACTCATACCTTGGGGACTTTTGGGTCGCCTTGGTGGAATGCTAATAGCATGGAGAACTGACCTCAGAGGGCCCCCTGCTAACAGGGGCAGCCAGGCAGGGCCCAGTGGGGTCTGGGGGGTATGCAAGGAGACCCCGAATCTGACTCACATACCTTTGTTCACCACCACCCGGGCAAGCTCAGCCTGCTGTGGGAGCGATGGCCAGGCTCTGTCTGTCTCTCAGGACACACACTGTCCTGCATTTGTGCACACATGGCTCTCAGTCAGTCCACTGAGAAACCTGACAGTGCAGCCATCAAGCCAGAGGGTGCAATGGGATCATGAGCTCCAGCCCTTTCTTTCAGATGGAGAAACTGAGGCTGAGGGGGGAGAGACCCCGTGCCTCTGTCGGTGAGAGTGGTCTGTCGGCGGCATGCCTGCAGGGTCCATCCGTGGTGTGACCTTGGATCAGCTGGTGGGAAGCAGATGCGGGCACCAGCAGAGGTTAATACTAAAACAATCGATGGTTTGCAATGGCGTGGGAGGTAGAGACTGTTCAGGAGTGGTGTAGCAGGGAGGGCTAGCGGCTGGGGCAGCCCCTGGACCTTTAGCTGCCTAGGGAGAGGACAGCCAGCCCAGCCTCACCTCCTGCCCTGCAGCCCGCCTCCTGCTGTTACCTCCCACCGGCTGAACCCACTCAGAAGCAAGGCCTGTTAATACCACCCCTGGAGGTCACCTTCTGGGCACAGAGACAAGCAGCTGAGGTGTGCAGGGGTAAGTGGGGGAGGTCTAGGGCCAGGCATTCTGGAGCGTGAGCCCTGGTGTTTGTCTGCTTTTACAGACGGTACGGACCCAGGATATACTTATAGTGTTATACAGTCATGGGAAAGTGTAATCAAGAAAAAATCTCTCCAGTCCAGCATGGTGACACATGCCTGTAATCACTGAGGGAGGCTGAGACAGGAGGATTGCAAGTTGCGGCCCAGCCTGAACAACTTAGTGACAGTGAGAACCTGTCTCAAAAAAATTTTTTTGAAGAGCTGTAGTTTATCTCAATGCCAATGTCCAGTACTAGAAAAAAGAAAGAAAAGAAAGAATCCAACCTTTAAAAAACTCAGCACAGGGGCTTGCGCGCTCTGTGGGTCTGCACCGGTTGTCTCCCCTTTCCTGTGGCCGTTTCCCAGCTGTATGCGGCATAGTCATGACACTGACTCCGGGCTACAGGGCACAGTGGGCACTGAGCGTCTGCTGGAGACGGGATGTCTCACGAGGTTCTCCCCCTTTTCCCTGTCACGAGGCTATCGGTGTCCATCGATTGCAGCTCGAGTGTTCACTGGGTCATCCCTGGTGCTTGTCCCCATCTGGAGGGGAAGAGGGATAAAGCTAGAGTGCTGAATGCTTAGTCTGCATGGTAGCAGTGCTGGTACCGAGGCTCTGCTGCCCGGCTGGACGCTCCTGGTCCCCTAGGCTGAACTCAAAGCATTGCTTTAGAGAGAAGCACTGGCATTCGTTAAGCTCGAAGAGCCTTTGGGACTATCTTAGTGGGGAGTGACTAACAGACAAAGGGACAAAAGGAAGAGACCCTTCAGGGTCCCACAGTCCGTTTCCTCCACCTGGGAACTCCAGCACACTGTCCCTGCCATGCAGAGCGCCTGAAGTAGCAACAGCTCCAAGGTTTTGCTGGCCCCCAGCCTTGGGAGCAGACTCTGCTCTGTGCTTGAGTGCAGTTTGTCAGTGAAAGTTTATTTACAAGGACAGCCTGCAACTTTGGTCCAAGAGTCCTAGATGGCCACCCTGCCCCTCCTCTGCTGTGTGTTGCAGGGTAGACTGCCCCCTCCTGAAGAAGCAGCTGGGGGGGGGGGTGCTGAGAACTCAAGCCCAGGTCTCCTGCCCTGCAGGAGTGGTGGAGAGACACCTGGTCCCTGAGTCATCAAGAGGGAGGTTTTCTAGGCCTCAGGGAGGAGATGAGGTTTAGGGAGCAGGAGGGGGAGAGCAGGGAGGTCTTCTGCCAGGGGGGTCCTGGGGTGGGCAGGGCGTGGCCTGGTGATCCTCGCTCCAGGGACCTCATCCTGATTCACAGGAGGAGCTGCAGGAAGGCACATGGCTCCGTGTTTCATCCATCCCTAGATTTGTTCTGCAGCTCCACCGCTGTCCCCTGCCATGGTCACCCTGGTCCACAGGCCTAGAAACAACACAGGCCAGGGGCAGCCCCAGAGACTGGGGGGGCTTGTGTTTGGCAGGCAGAGCTCTGGAACACAAGTACCCGCTCCCCACCTGGGCTGCGGTGGGGTCTCTGAATGCAGGACCCACAGACGTTGAGCACATACTCTGTCCTGAACAGCAGGAGGGCTTTAACAAGCTGGTAGGAAGCGGTCTTTGTCCCCCAGGGGATGGAAGCGGCACAGGGTTACTGCAGACTCCCTCAAGGAGTCTGGCAGAGGCTCTGGCATGTGTATGAGGGCCCCAGGCCTCAGTGAAGGGGCTGCCGCCTTGGCTGCTGAGTCCTGGGGTCCCAATGCCTGCCCCAGGTCTGGGGAGCATCCTGGTTCTCACGTTCATTGCCCCTCAGTCGACTCTCCCTGCAGCACACCCTCCACCCCTGTTCCAATGCAAAGTGGCCCAGTGCTGTCCACTGTTGATACTCCAGCTTCACAGGACACTGTCCAAACTACTCCAGGAAGGTGAATGGATTGAGGCGTCAGTAACAAAACAGCACAGGTGTCAGACCAGGACATGAGCAGAGGGGACAACAAGGTGAGGAGGGACCATGGGGACCCTGATCGCATCCCTGGAGGCAGGCCCAGGCATCTGTCTGCAGTCTGAAGGCAGGTACTCAACAGACAGTCCCCCAGGAGACTTTCAGGGGGACCAAGGGAAAAGGCAGTGAAGTGTGGTGCTTGCCCAGAGCCCTTGACCTTAGGCAGAGGCTGTGGTCAGGTCTTTGGGGGTCAGAGAGAGGACAACAGGCAGGTCACAGGTGTCTGTCCTTCCCAGACCTCGATCCCTGCTCCCTCCAGCCGGCCCAGCAGGGCTCTTGCTGTGTTGAAGCAGGATTTCGGGCCCTTGCTGAGCCTCCTGAGAGAGGGCTGTGGCCTCCCCATGCTGGTCCCTCCGTATGGACGCGCCCTGAGCTGCAGAGGCCCCATGGTGTTGGCCCCATCGCCTCCGTCTACCTTTGGAAGCTTCTGTCTCTAGGACCTTTGTCCCCAGGCTGCTTCCTGCTTGGCCAAGAGGCCACACACAGTCCCCGAGAACACAGATACATGGCCTCAGTGTCGCTGTCCTGAGGTCTCTTCTAGCCCCGGTGCTCTTGGCAGCTGATTGGCACCCCTGTGTGGTGGCAGAGACCCCTGCAGTCCGACAGCAGTCGGTGGTGACCCTGAGCCAACCTGAAAAGCCGTCACTCAAAAGGCTCAGCTGCGGAGTTAGCAGGGACTACAGTAGCCCGTGGGGTGGGGACAGGGGAACAGGGCAGGACCATCCACCCAAGTCTCAGCTGGGAACTGGCCCTGCCAAGTGGCTGGCATCAGTGGTGAACCAGGGGATGCCTAATATCCAGGTTGTGCCGGGGACAGTGACCCATTTGAACTTGGTCCAGTGGGAATGAGGCAGCAGGGGTGACAGTCTGTGTCTGCCTGGTGGTCAGTGAGCCGTGGCTGTAATAGGTCCAGGTCTAGCCTGGTTCCCCAGGACTCCAAGCCTTTGGCTCAAACCACGGCCCTCCTGAAAGCCACTGTGCAGATGAGGACTCCAGGGCCGGGCTGACCCCGAGCACCAGTGGCCTGGGGCACCTGGACAGGGCTAAGGTGGCAGCACCTGTTTGGGAAGAGCAGGGGACCCCAGGCCACCACTGAAGGGGCTGGCTAACCTGGCAGCACCCTCCCGGGGGGCATCACACAACCCCTCAGAACCCACTGTGGGGCCACCTGCTCCCTGGTCTCGGTCAGGACTTTCCAACCAAAGCCCACATCTGGATGCCTCTAGAACTGGACAGGCTGATGACAGCTGCTGATCCCTGAAGCTTTCAATGCCAATGGGGAGACGGGTGTCTAATCCTTCCTGGGTGGATGAGGTGGGCGGATCTTTGAGGAGCAAAGGATGACCTTGAGAAAAACGTGAATTCAGGGAAAAGATGAGTGAAATAATCTCCCTCCCTCACCACTGTCAGTAACCCTCCTCAGCGGCAGCACTGGGAAAGTTTGCTCCCTGCGAAGCCTGCTGGCTCAGAGGCTGTAGCATTTGACTCCATGATAAGAAATTGCCAGGCGCGTTCTAATTACAATTATCATCATCGTGGCTGTCTCTCTTAATTACTTTCTTATAATTAGCTGTTGCTTTTTCCTCGGCATTTGTATACTTTGCAGATTTGCTGACATTTGAGAGCCCCAAAATAGGGACATTTGGGGAGGGGCCAGAAAGGCAGGGGCAAGGTACCTGTTCTTGTGGGGAGCCTGGAACATTTCTGGGCCTTTGAAGGAAGCATCTGGGACAAGAAAAGGTGCAAATGGAGGGACAGGTGACTTCCTGTGTGGAGAGGGCGGGAGGAGGGACTGTGGGTACATGGTGGCCTGCCAAGGGTCTCCATAGGTTAAGCCCCTGGGAGAAAGTTCTTTAGAAGCCACCAAGCCCGGTCACTTCTAGGGCCTGCATTTCACTTTAGGAAAAGAGGCTGGGACACAGCACACTTGTCAGATCTATTTCAGAGTGGGTTAAAACAGAGGCCCAGAGCTTGGCTTCCCCAGCTAGCGATGCATCCCGAGCATCCCCGGCATCAGGCCCTGGTGACACGCCAGGGGCACTCCTTGTCCGGACGGCTGGCTTCACTGTGCTCCTCTTTCCTCTCCTGCAGCCCTTTGTACGGAGGAGTGTGTGCACGGCCGCTGCGTGTCCCCCGACACCTGCCACTGCGAGCCCGGCTGGGGAGGCCCTGACTGCTCCAGCGGTGAGTCTGGGGTCTTGATGTGGGCGGGGACAGTGGCACCCATGTGCTGACTGCTGTCCCCTGGGGGAGTGGCACTGTGTGACGGGTCCTGTGGGGGGCTGGACTCTAGCGGGAGGATGTTGGTGGTTCCAGGCATCTGTGGGGCTGTGTGGGTTCCATGTGGAGGGAACCTTGGGCTCATCTGTATGACCTTGGCTTTTGGTGGAACACCTCCAGATGTGGTCTTTGGGGGTGGAAGTGAACTCAAGATGCCACTTGGGTGCAGACCCGGGAAGCCACCGTGGACTAGGCCTGATCCTCGGCTTCATGCGGGGGGACTGGTTATGAGCCTGGGAAATCCTCTGCCCAGCACCGAGCTGGTGAGAAACCCTTCCCTTCTACTCATTTCTTCCAGGTATCTGGAGAGGATGTTCAGCCAGTTGGTGGTGGGTTCATGTCACAGTCCTGCTGATTTTCAGAGAGGCCTTGCTAGTGTTGAAGCCAGGTTTCTTCCTACTTTGGCTGGGGTGGAGTCTCTTTATGGTGACCTGGCTGTAACGTGGCCAGGCCGATCCCTTGCATTCCAAGCCTCCTCCTGCTGCCCCTCCTTGTCCCTTACCCTGTATCACTCAGTGGCCATACAGACTCACAGAGGAACATGTTGGATCCGTGCTGGCCTTGTGCGGAGCTCTTGCCATCTCTTGATGTTCCTGCAGGCCTGGAAGCATCTGGTTTTGGTCCTTTTTTCCCAAGTCCCCTGGTGGAACCTCCTTGTCTGTCCAGCATGTGAGAAGCTACCAGCCAAAGCTTGAATGGCATCTGTATAGTTTTGTGCAGAGCCCTGGTGATCTTAGCTCAGAAGACCATTAGCAGTTTGGGGTACCCAAGAGACTTCTTCATGTGCTGGGGCCCCCAGTGGCCATGGTGGTCCCCTCCTTCCACCTGTCCTACTGCATTGAGGTGGGCTGTGGCTGGTCAAGTGGCCAGAAAGGAGCAGGGTGCCCGGGGGACTCAGAGGTGAGGGGAGTGTCGGTGGCTTGAAGGACAGATGTGCTGGTACAGTAAAAGTCCATGTTTCCTCCTGGCCGTGCTTTGCTTTGTATAACTTAGCTTATAGCATCTGTTTGCTAAAATATCTGCCTCGGATTGGGTGGGCCCTGTTGGGATGGGTCTGCCCACGTCCAGGCTGGGAGCCGCCTGTTGGAAGTGACACATGGCCCTGATGTATGGGACTCCCCCTTGATGCCAAGGCGTGGGGTGGTCACCATTCTCAGGATGGCCCTTCTCAGGGTCTGTGGTCTGGTGGGAGAGATGGAATGATGGTGGCACCTGGTGACCAGGATGTGGCATGTGGAGTAGGTCTTATCCCCAGAGAGAGTTTGCCAAACACAGGGATAATAGTCTTTTTGCTTAGGATCTGCTCCTTTTTTTTTTTTTCTTTTTTCTTTTTTTGGTCTTTATGAGACAGGATCTTGCTATGTGGTTCATGCTGGCCTTGACCTCATTGGTAGCCCAAGCTGGCCTCAAGATCACAGCAATCCTCCTGCCTCAGGCTCCCAAGTGCTGGGATTACAGGCATGTGCCACCATACTTGGCTCTCATCTCCATTAAATGCACCACAGTGACTGAGGCACCACCACTCTGGGGTCTCCAAGTACTACAGAACCCACTGGAAGTCCTAAGAGATGGCTTCCAACTCTGTTTTCAGGGGCCACAGCATTGAACTGAGGGAATTTAAAGATTCGCACTGTCATGATCATTCAGAGCATTGGATGTTTAAATACCTTGCGGAGAGCTTTCCAACCTCTGCTTGGATACCTCTAGTGATGGGGAACTCACTACCTCCTGAAAGGGTCTTCGCACTGTCATGATCATTCAGAGCATTGGATGTTTAAATACCTTGCGGAGAGCTTTCCAACCTCTGCTTGGATACCTCTAGTGATGGGGAACTCACTACCTCCTGAAAGGGTCTTCTGACTATTGGAAAATTTACCCTTCCATCCAGTGGGAATCTCTCCATAGCTTTTACCACTTGTTTATTGCTTGTGATAAAGGTCAGGGCAGGGTGATGGGTTACCTGGAAACTCCCTGAGGAGCCCAGTGGACAGGGTCTCAGGCCACCCAGCCCCTCCTGGGCTTTTCTTCTGTTTCTCACGTGACATCTGGGCTGACGTCCCCTCTCGTAGCTGTGACTTTTATTTCTCTTAAACGATGGCTCCTATGTCCGACCACACAACTGAAGGTCCATCTGACCAGTGTAAAAACATAAAAATGGAGATTGCCACCATTTATTGGACTTTATTGTGCATTAGACACATATTTGCATACTCGCTTAATCTTCACGATAACCTTATGATCTGAGAATTATCAATGGCCTCATTTTACCAACAAAAAAGTTGCAGCCCAGAGAAGTTCACGCTCTTCCAACAGATGTGGATCATAAGTGGTGAAGCCAGGACCATCACCAAACAAAACCCTGGCTTCTTTTGGATGTACCCTCCCCTTCCTCCCACTTTGGTTTTTTGAGACAGGGTCTTGCAGGGTCAGGCTGGTCTTCAACTCACTATGTAGCCCAGGCTGACCTCAGACTCACAGCAATTCTCCTACCTCAGTCTCCCAAGCACTGAGATTATAGGCGTAAGCCACCCCACTCTTCAGGGTGCTAAACCTCTAATGATACAGCCGAAGGTTGAAATAGATCTTTGATGTGAAATCATAGTTGCTCCTGAGAGAGAGAAGGATCTGGCTGAAAGAGATGTCAGGGAACCAGAGGAGTCAGCTGTGGGGTGCAAGCTGTTAGCTCTGTGCACCTGCTTGCTGATATGCTGCTGGAACCCTGGCTGCCTGTGTGTGGCCTGCAGTGGGCCTGTGACAAGAGGGTCCCAGGTCTCGTGGGTACAGTGCCAGTCCCTGGAAAGCTCTGAAGGCCCTGTACATGGGACACCTTTGCAGAGGGGCCTTGGTTTGGTTCAATTGGAAGCAATCTCCGGTCTGCTTTTTTCTTCCTCTCCTTGATTCCATGTTTTTTTTTTTTTTTAAAAGACAGAATAAAGCCAACTAAGATCGTACAGTGAAATTGGTACAGAACTTCACAGCAGGTTACTGGGATAATAGTAATAGGTATTACAGTATATTTCGTTATCTTTACAGTAGTTGTTCTTTCAATCACGTATATCAAAATAAAATGAAATACAGAACATTATAGAACTTATGAAAACAGAATATTGAATAGAGCAGTTCCATTAATCAGAATAGAACAAAACAGTAATAAAAATACTTGCCTTCAAAGAGATGGTAGAAGGAAATCCCCCTTATTTGCTATGGTCAACCTCCTAGGAGATGCTCAGATTTCTGGTTCCCATTTGCTAATGCGGGGACAGGGGAGGGAGGTAGGGGAAGGGGATGTTAGACTCTAGGCCGTGCACCAGTAGGCTCACTATTGCTTAGCAGGGAGGCAGGCTGCTTGCTTGGCTTCCCAGGGTCCTAAGTTCCAACATGGCGCGGATCTCAGGAGACCCTGTGGTTGTCCCTCTGGAAGGGCCACAGTCTGCCACACTGCAGCTGCTTATCCCTGATTCCATGTTAAAATGAAAGGTCAAATCTCCCCAAACATGTAAACAAAAGGTGATTCCCCACCCCCACCCCCAGAGAGGACCCTGCAGGCCTTTGGGTGCTTGTCCTTTGTCACTTCTCCGCACATTTGCATAGACAGCTCCTTCCAGAGCACAAGCACATGCCAGTCCATCACTTGCTTTTTAAATTCAACTTTTGAAGTCATGCACTCATTTCCTTGTCAATAAACCTTAAATCTCCTATTCAGTGTTTCATGACCTAGTGGAATTCCTGCCATGGATTACCAAATGTATTTAATCAGTCCCTGGGTGGGAGCTGAGGTTGTTTTTGATGCCTCGGGATGATAGGCCCACTTTTATCCAAGGCCCGAGGGGCTTAGGTTTCGGAATTTAGAATTTTCCCTGGGTTTAAAAAGTACATAATGATTACATCGCATGTGACATGAACCTGCACAGAAGCCAGGTGGCACCCTGGGGGAAGTGATCCTGTTCTGCCGTGACACGTGCCATAGCATATCTAGTGACATAAAGAAAATGCATCATCTCAAATCAGTTCCACATGGCTTGACTGCTACATGAATATTGGCACTGAACTTAAAAAAAAAGTTGTTTTAGATTTTTGGATTGCGATGTATGAGTAAAGGCCCATGGCCTTGGCAAAAACACTGCAGGGATTCTTCTTGAGCATCTGTCTTTGCCCCCTTGTCCCAATCTGTTCTCAGGATAAATTCCTGGAAGCAGCAGCGAGGGTTATAAAGATCCATCATCCTGTTCCCTGCCCCTGCTCTGCCCTTTGTGGCCGCCAAGGGATTTATGAGTCCAACAGTCACAAAGGGGACAAATTTAGTACTCAGGGGGGTGGGGACTTTCCATTCTTTTACAGACTTATAACCCTGTAGCCTGATTTCTTGAAGGCCTGGACTAATCTCTTCCTGCTCCATAAGGGAATAAGGCAGACTCGCCAGCTTTGCGGATAGGTCTGAGCTGTTGGCTGGACCAATATGGGGAAATGGAGGAGCCCCGCACTGGTCATAACCCTCCATCCCATATTATAATGAAGAGCAGAGGCTGAAATGTCAGTTTATGCTGAATAAAGACGACAGAGTGACTCTTATTAAATTGCACTAATCTCACAAGTGGAGATAGAAAGTGAAAAAAAAATTTTTCCTATATTGAATATCTAGCTTTTTAAAGTAATTAGGAATATTAAAGCACTGACAATGATTGAGATAGAAACATTATTCATAACTTTTATTTCCGTACTGGGCAATGATCCAGTATATTTCATTTATGAGGTTTGAGCTGTAAGGAGAAGGACGTGAGCCAATTCCTAAATTAAATATGCCCTGTTAACTTTTATAAATGATACCCAAGAATTAACTTGGAAATTTAAGCTTTCATTGTGTTATTTAATTATTGTATTTCCTGGGTCCCCTGTCTCTGCTCTCA